AATTTCCTTCCCCAAATACCCTTTTTCCTGTAAGCAACATCTCTTTAGTGAGATTACAGCAAAAATCCCTGAGCTGCCGGGTCCCGGCGCTTCATCACCTGGTTAGCCCCATCCGTCAGGGCTGCGTGTGTCCCCGGCACCCTGCCCGTCCGTGGGTGATGGTCTTTTCATCATTTCTGCAGATTTATGTTACAATAATTTAATTTCATCCTCAGCCCTGGGAAGATGAATTGGCCCCGATGTGACTGGGGATTTGGAGCCAGTCTCGTAAATTTGCTGCCTCTACACAAAGCTCCTTCTGGAGTCCCCACTGCAGCCCTAAGTGGGAGCCTTTAAACAACAGGGGCTGGGCTGTAAATCCAGGGTGGTGGTGGAGGGATGCTGCTGACACCACGGCCTCTCCCCAAGCCTGGGCCAGACTTGGTGGCTCTGGGTGGCTGACAGGGCTTGGGCAGGGCTCTGTGAGCTGACCGATGGGACCAGGTGCTGCCAGTGGCTCTGTGCTGGGCTCTTGTGCTGCTGGGATGCAGCCTGCCCATGTGAGCAGCCATTGCGGGGGATCCAGGAGCAGCCAGTGCCCAGGACCTGTCTGCAGCACACACATCACTTCCCTGACTTGGCAGAGATGGTGCTGTGCTGGTGCTGTGCCGGGCACGGGCTGCAGGGCTCCCGCACATCTGCACTCGCTGCATGTGGGAACTGCTGAGCTTTCATTGCAAGTGGCTTGCCAATGTAATTAAACTCGAGTGACTCCCTTGCCCCTAGGCACAGCCCCTCATTTCTCTTTGATTTATTATGTCTTCTTAATTTATTTAAATGAGTCTCAGTGTTTGCACAGGCTGGGGGGTGCTGGCTGGAGCTCTGATTGCTGGAGCGGAGGGAAGACAGCAGCAGGGTCTCCATAGGGCCACAGTCATGGCCACCCCCAGGCACAGCAGGGGCTGCAGGGATGCAAACTGCAGCAAAAGCCCCCACATGGGAAATGCCCTTGGAGCAAAGCTTCCAGTGCTGCCCTGGTGCCTGTGGGGCTGCAACAGGAAGGGCTGGACGGTTTTGGGGGCCGGTTTAGGGGCATCTCCCTGGGGTATCACTGGGCAGTGGCTGCATGGGAGGTATGGCACTGCTGCGGGGGGCCCTGCTCAGCCCCTTCCCACTGTGCAGGGGCTGGGGTCCAGCCGGATCTCACGGCAGTTCCTGGCTGGTGTGGGGGAAGTGAGCAGAAGCCGGGGAGAGCCATGGCCCAGCTCCGAGGGTTCGTCTGTGCTCCAGGCGAGAGGAGCACAGGTCCTCTCCTCTCCCAGAGGACCATTGGGCCGAGCAGCCTCCTGCTGCCCCGTTCCTCCTGTGTGCCTGTGCCCAGTTGGCTCTGTGCCGCTGGCCTCGCCATCCCAGGCTGTGTTTGCACAGCTGATTGTTCCCGGCTCAGCGTACTGCCTTCCACTTGTTCCTGTTGAATTTCATCCTATTTTTTCCAGTCCATTTCTCCAATTTGTCAAGATAATTTTGAATTCTAATCCTGTCCTCCAAGATACTTGTAGTCCCTCCCAGCTTCATGTCATCTGCAGATTTAATAAGTGCTTTCTCTATTCCATCATCCAGATCCGTTAATGAAAAAATGGAGCAAACCAGAAGCAGGACGAGCCCTTGGCTGCCCAAGCAGCCTGGCACTTGCTGTGCTTGCTGCCCAAATGTGATGGCAGATTGTGCCGGAGCAGTGCCACGCTGGCTGGGCCTCACTGCCTCCCACAGTGGGGTCCGGAGCTGGGCTGCGCCTGGGAAGGGGCAGGGGTGGTCTCCCGGGGCTCACAGTGCTCCCTTGCGGTCCATGACGGCTCCTCTGGGCTGCACGACAGGGACCTGGAGCCAGCCCAGAGAGCAGCCCCCCCGCATGCCCCAGCCCCCCGCCGCCTCCTCTTTAACTGAATGTAGAGAACCATTTACAGAACACAAGCAGGTGCCTGTGCCCAGCTCTGTGTGTCTGGGCACGGCTTCATTTCACTGTAAAATCTCAGTGCAGTGAACGGCTTTTCCCATCTCCGGTCCATGTCAAAGCCAAGAGCTTCGCATGGGCTGCGCTGAGCAGCCCCGCAATGGCTCTTGCAGTGCCCTGCAGAGCGTGCAGCTGCCGGGGCTGTCACGACGCCTGCGGCTGCAGCCTGGTCTGTGGGGAGCCACAGGCCCTGACCCTGTGCAGTGAAGTGGATGCTGCAGGCACCCATGCAATGCCACCCCATTGTGTGGCCATGAAGGTGTCCTGGCAGGGCTGGCTGGTGCTGTGGTGGTGGGAGCTGGCTCCTTTCATGCCAGTAATAATTTCATAGTCAGGGTCTAGGAGGTTTGTAAACAGATATGCATTAATTCTGCATTTAGTGATACTTGAATAATTGGTGTCACATCAATTAGATGGGTTCTTGGATACCGCAGGGGTCAGTGCTGTGCAAAACCCTCTGGTGGCAGGACAGGACGAGTCCCAGTGGCAAATGAGGCTGGTGGGGATGTCAAACACTGAGAGCAGCAGGGCTGTGCAGTTTGTGCTTTGCAGGAGAGCAGCAAAGCCTGAGGCTGCTGCGGAGCACGGGAGTGCGGGGGTGCTTGGGGAGGTGTTGCCGATGCTGCAAACCTCTGAGTGTAATTCCCTGTTGTCCCATCACCATGCTCCTCGCTGGGCACCCAGTTCAGCATTCTCTGCTGCTTCCCCCATCCCTCAGCGCTGCAGTGTGCCATGGCTTCGCATGCAGGCTGGATTTGCCTGCACTGTGCTGCCAGTTCACAGGGAGGAGGCTCAGGGGGCCTGGGCCGGTGTGGATCACCCCTGGCTCGTGTGCTGGCAACACAGACCAGCGCTGTCAGCCCTGGCCCTGGTGCAGATTGCAGGCTGAGGTGATCTGCAGGGGACAGTAAGTATTTGTCCCACCCTCATCCTTGTAGGAGCAGATAAGGTGGCAGCTTTGTTGCTGGAGGGAGACAAACTCTGTGGCGGTCTTAAAAGTCTATTGTGTCCCTGCAATTATTTATAGATAAAAAGAAGAAAGCCAATAAGCATAGAATGGAACTTCACAGCTGCATGTGTGGTGATGATGATGATGATGAGATCTTTCCCTCACACTCACACAAGCACGTCTCCAGTACATGGGGAACTCACTGCTGGCACTGATCAGATCCCTGTTGCTATGAGGCAGGGCAGGCTGGAGGACTTGCCCCATCTCGCTGACGTGCTCCCACTCTGTTCTCCCCACAGTGGCACACACATGGAGGCAAGGTGGCCTTCATCCCATAAGCCAACCCCCAGGGTGCTGGGTACCTTTGCAGTGAGGGGGGTCCTGGTGTTTCTTGCAGAGGATGTGGGATTGGCTGGGTCCTCGCCAGCAGCCCTCTCAGCTCTCCCTACTCCATGCAGCCAGGACCTCATCTCCCATTACACAGCACTGCTGAGGACATACCCGGTGTGTGTGGAGGCAGCCCTGTGAGGGAGCTGGGACTGAACGGTGCAGCAGGGAAGAGCCACAGAGATCACGGCCCAGGAGCGCATTTCTGCAGCCTGTGGGCAGAGATACTGGGAGTGAAAAGCATTAACTCCAGGGTGGGAAGGGGCTGGGAAGCACCATGAGTTTGGTGAGTGCGTGGAGAGCCCACAGGAAGGGGCCGGGGCCTGGCAGGGCTGGAGCCACCAATGGGGAGGGCAGGAAAATGGCAGGCACAAGGCCTGGGGTGGCTCCGTGGGCACCGGGGTCCCTGGGTGAGCTGTTGTTCATGTGGCACTGGGGCCCTCAACCAGCCCATGTCCCTGTGGAGCTGCATGGCATCACTGGCTCCAGCTCTGGGGCAGGAGCCATAACGCACAGGCAGCCACTGCTGCTCGCTGGGGTGCAGGAGTGTTACCCATCCCTGCTCAGCCCTGACACTGCAGGACACCCACACTGGGGAAGCACCGGGATGAGCTGCAGGCAGCATCTGAGACAGCGACGGGGAGCTCTTAACTGGACTGGAGAGTGGGATGATTTTTCATTGCTTCCTTATAATAAGAGGACAAGAGCAAGTGACTAGCACAGTTCGTTCACTTGGTAAAGATTTATACAATCACTTCATCCAGTAATTGGTATTCTGCGGAGAGAGGGAGCTGCAGCTCCAGCATCCGCCTCCGTTTTATCTCTGTCTTTCTTTCTCTCCCCTTTTCAGAATGAGTAATTCTGTCCCTCACAATCCCATTTAAACAGAGCATTTTCAGAGTGAATAATTAGTTACATTCAATTAGATCTCAAGCGCTCCCCTTCTCACTCTGGGGGCCAGACACGCTAATGAGAAGGCACACGTCTGACATGGGCGCAGGTGTTGAACACGCTGCATGCGGGCAGGGAAGGGTCGGCACTGGGGGGGTCAGGAGCCAGAAGAGCTGGTCTGGGGAGGTGCTGGTTGGGGGCAGAGGCCCTGGGTCTGTTGCCCACGTGATGATGCCAGCGGGAATCAGGCTCATACCTGTCCCCAGGACAGGGCATTTGTTCACTGGGCTCTTGTGTCAAGGGGACGCTGCCCAGCCTGGGACCATTCCACCAGCACTGCCAAGAGCAGAGCTCTGAGCAGGAGAGCTGCTGACGTGCCTTTATCTCCCTTATTAAACCCAACATTAGGTTTTAAGAGGAGGCTTAAGTAACGTGCCACTGCCATGCAGTAAAAGTCGCTCTGTTCCAGCTGCTTCTGGCTCCTCGATTTATGGCCCTTCCTGTGCCATGCTGCATGCCCGCAGGTGCCGGTGGCTCACGGGCTGCAGCGGCTCCGGTCCCCGGGTCCTGCTCTGGGCTCGGTGCTGCCGCCGCCCAGCGCCACGCCAGTGAGGCCCGGCCCTCCCCTCCCCGGCCGCGGTGCAGCAGCGCCACCTGCCGGCCGCCACGCGCCGCCGGGACCCTGCGAGCCAGGCCCCGGTGCCGCTGAGCCGGGCGCGGCCGCGCGGACTGCCCTCGGCGCACGGAGCTCCGGGTTCCGGCCCGAGCGGGCCCTGCCGCAGGGTCCCGGTGTCAGCAGCCGTGCTCTGCCGCGGCCGCGGGCTCCGCTGCTTGTCCCGGTGCCGGCAGCGGGGCTCCGCTCTGCCGCAGCACAGCCGCTGCTGGGGGGCCTCCGTGGCTCTGGCCGCGCCGTGCTCTGCTGCGGTGTCACAGCGCCTGTGGCCAGCCCAGGTGCCACACTCCTCCCAGGCTGGAGCGGGGACAGAGGAGATGGCGCTGGCGCTGGCCCCGGTGCGTGCTGGTGGCCGGGGCAGCGCCCGGTCCCCTCACAGCCTTTCCTGCTCGGCGATGCGGCTCTCCTTGCCGTCCTCCTGTGCCACGGGCTGGCCTCGGAGCAACGTCTCCTGCACAGGGAAGGGATCCTCCCACTCCTCAGTGGGCTGATGTGTCTCCAGGTTCTCTTCAGGCCTTCCAGGTTTTCCCTGCACAGGGGCAGAAGTCAGGAGCAAAAGTCAGGAGCAGGCAGGTTCACCCCCCATGGCTTTCCACAGGTTCCTGCTCCGCTGCCATGAAGGGCAGAACCTCACCCTGTGAGCATCCCCCATCTCTGTATTTGCTAGCAGCACCCCAGTGTGCCCCTTGCCTGCAGAGCCAGAGCCCCAGCTCTGCTGCTGGCACACCTCTGGCTGTGCCCAGAAGGGACCCCAACCCACTACTGGAGGGCAGCTCTGGACTCACCTGCTTCTGCATCTGTTGCTTGGGACCTGAATGGAAAGAGGGACAGAGAAGGTGACAGTCAGGGCAGAGCATTCCTGCCATGCTGACCTGGTAGGGCATGGGGCTGCGGCAGCCGTGTCCCAGCAGTGTTCCCAGAGGGGCTGCCCTGCTCTCGGCAGAGCTGCCATCATGCCCCCGTCTCGGCTTCTCCGCCCCATGAGGTCACGCTGGCCAAGGCACCCCCTTACCCCTGTGCACCACCAGGTAGCAGTAGATGGAGATGCCCACGAGGAATGTGACAGCCACGGCAGCAACGGGGATGAGCACCGAGAGCGAGGACCGCCTGCCCGACTCTGTGAGGAGACAGCCAGTGAGGCACCGTGCAGCACCAAGACACCAAGTACCCAGAGCTGCCTTGCTCCAGGGCCAGTCCTGCAGGGATCCCTTATGGGGACAGACAGGAGCAGGAAGGATTGTGCTGGCACTGCAGTCAGACCCTGCTTGCTCCGAAACAGTCATGGGCCAGGCCAGCTCCTCCCATTGCTGTAGGAGCACCAGATCTCTGCTCTGCATCAGCCTGGCACTGGGCACTTACCACAGATCACATCTGAGGTGTTGGTCCCTTTCACCTTCACCATCAGCCCCTTTTCCTCACAGCTGCGGGAAGAACAAGACCATGTCCCACAGCAGCCTGGGCACATGGGAAGCCCGACCAGGAGCACCTGCTGCGTGTCCTGCACCAAGCCTGCCAGGCTCCAGAGGGACGAGTGTGCAGGAGCCAGTGCTGCATGATGGGGAGACCAGGTACACAGCAGGGCCCCACACCAGGATCCTGGTCTAGAGGTGCTGAAACTGCTCAAGACAGGGACAGCTCTGGGGACAAGGCACAGGAAGAAGCAGACAGCTGAGACCTGCCCGGTCAGGGAGACGCAGGGCTCAGGCACCACGGTTCCAGCAGAACAGCCGGGAAAGGACTTGATGACAGGCTGTAAGCGGCTCCGTGGGGAGGTAATTTCTGGGCACAGATAAAAGCAAAGTGAAATCCAATGGCTGGCAGCTGAAGCAAGACTAATTCAGCCTGGAAATAAGGCTAATGTTTCTACCATGAGTGCAATTAACCCTCAAGCAGCTTTCTAAAGACACAGATGACCTACCAGCCCATGGTGTCCTCAAAGCCAGAGTCCTCAGGGCTGGTGCCCCAGCTGATGAGCCAAGGAGTGCTGGGAGAGAGAGCCTGGACAGGGCACTGGGGATCCCCAGAGCTCCTTATCCCTTGATCCCCAGTGCAGGTGACAGGGTGGACATCCCTGAAGGGGCAAGCACTCTGCACACATGCAGAGTGATGGTCACAAGCTCCTGGATGTGTGCCTCACGCTCAGCCTGCCACCCTGGGCCCCACCACACTCACAGCTCTGCTCCTATGCCAGCCTGACGCTATGTCGCTCAGACTGCCCACCCATCTGCTCCTCAAGGCCACTAAGGAGGCTGGCAGCAGAGGATGTGCTCACAGGGATAGCGAACAGCTGGGGATAGGTGGAGGATGTGGTCAGCACTCAGACAATACCTTGTCCAGGGATGGCACGGCTCAGTTTTGGAAGAGACATTGGAGAAGGTGCCTTCTGCACAGGGCTCACAGGGGGATGTCATCCGGGCCATGGCTTTGGCTGAAGGAGCAGAGGTTGCAGGAAGGTCAGTGTGGGCAGTGGGAGCAAGGGGCTGTGGCAATGCTGCCAGGCACAGCAGCAGGCAAAGTGCTGCCGGAGCCCTCAAGGGGCACCTCGCTGTGGGAGCCCCCCTTCCCCTGGAGGACCTGAGGTCAGTGCTGCCGGGGTCACTGAGAGGGATGAGCTGGTTGGACTCACCCACCACGAAGCCAAAGCCACGCTGGCAGGGCTGGTTCTCCACGCAGGTCTGGCAGCTGGTGTCGGAGCAGTGCGTGCCGGCCCGGCACTGGCACACCGTGTTGTGTGTCGCGTTGCCATGTGTCTTCACGATGAGGCCAGTGTCTGGGAAAAGGCAGCAGGGTGAGGTGAGGCACGGGGTGGGGGAGCCTGGGAGGACAGTGGGGCTGGTGGGCATGGGGAGCACTTACTGTCTTCACAGATATCGTGGGGGGCACAGTGCTTCTCCTTGGTCCAGCTCTGCTGGTAGTGGCCACTCTCACAGGGGGTGCAGACAGAGTCCTCTGTGTCACTGCATTCAGAGACCAGCTTTTCCCCTGTAATAGAGGAGGTGAGAAGGGGCGAAGGGGCTTTCCCCTCCCCAGGCAGCAGCTCTGCCAGTGGGAGATGGGAGTACTGGCAAGGGTGAGTGCTGATGCTGCTCTGGCAGCCAGTGCTTCAGGGACCAGCTCCCCACTGGGGAGGGATGATTGGTGCTGGGGCAGGAGAGCATGGGGGGGGGGGGGGGGCATTCACTGCCTTCCCCCATTCACTGCCTTTAGGGGCTGGGAAATGCTCTGCATTAAAGCGGGAGCTGAAAATAACATCACAATTTGGCAGTGGCAGCAGTCTCCCTGCGAGCTGCCTGTGCCCTGGGGTCCTGCAGCTGCAGGAGCACTGACAGTCCCAAGAGAGTTGTGGCAGATTCGGGGAAGTCCAGGGGGTCTCCCAGAGCACCCACGAGGCTCCCAGTTGCTCTAGCACTGGGGTGACACAGAGGTGAAGCTGCCAGCGGGGTGGAGGAGCTCAGTCACGTTGAGCTGTGCTCTGCTGTGGTCCAGCTGTGAGTCCTGGTACAGTCAGGCCCTGGGGTACAGGAAGGGGAAGGGATCTCCGTACCTGGATGACACCGGTTGCAGCATCTGCCTCTGTATTCATACTGCTTATCAAAGCATCTGACAGCATCACCAGGCTCCCAGCACTGGAAGAAACAAGACCTGGAATTCATGGTGCTCAGTGCTTCAGCACCTCCTTGCTTCTACAAGCACAGGGGAGCTACCCCACATCCCGAGGCAAGGGCTCCCCTGCACTGCTCCTGCCCTGCCTGTGCTAACCACAGACCGCAGCAGAGCCACCGGCGCTGCCTCATGCCACCAGTGCTCTTTGAAGTGGGGTGGCAGCGATTCCCCACATTTCCTATCAGATGCTGATTGCACATTGCCCTGTGCCACTGCCAGCAGGGTCCTGCACAGGAGCAGCGGTGTTAACAGAGCCTCCGAGCACAGAGAGCTGCCAGCCCTTGCCCAAGGCTGATGCATCAGCCTGAGGGGCAGGAAAAGCCCCAGGGCACGTACAGCTACTAGCAGGGGTGTGTGTGCACCGGGAAGAATGTAGAGCAGGCAGGTAATGGGACCTCGGGCAGTATGGATGCAGGGCACCCACAGCATTGGACCACCGCACAGAGCAAGCCCCACGCTGGCCCTGAGCCCAGGCACCCCGGGGAGCGGGACGGGGGCTCCAGCAAAGCCCTCAAGCGAGATGACTGCGGGGCCCACGCATGAGGGGTGCTGAGACCCCACGGGGCGCCCCTGGGTATGCCCGGGCTGGTAGAGGGGAGCCGGCGCTGCTGGCCCTCACGGTCACAGTGAGCAGAAAGGGAAGCGAGAGGGGCTCCGGCGGCCCCGTCCCTGCGCCCCGCAGCCTCCCAGGGCCCGGCGGTGCTCTGGAGCCCGACGCTGTCCGTCCGTGCCCGCAGGTCCCTCCTCCCTGCCCCGGCCGGGCCCGCTCCTCGGAGGAAGCCGAAGCCGAGATGGGCCCGACGGGAGCCGCCTGACGAGCCCGGCGCCGGTGCGGAGGCCGGGGGGGGGTCGGACCCGGCCGGCTCGGATCGGGCTGCGCGGGCGCTGCCGATGCCACTTCCCGCTCTGCCGCCGCGGGCACGGCGCCGGCCGTGGGCCTCCCGCAGGGGGGGCCGCGCGGAGGTGAAGGGCCGGACCGTGCCCCTTCCCGGAAAGCCGGGCGGCTGCGGGCCGCGCTCGGCCCGAGGGAGGGAGGAACCGCCGCTGCCACTACCCCAGCGCATGCCCGTGCCCCGGCCCCACTCACCCCGAGCAGCGCCGCGCCGAGCAGCCCCACCAGCCCGAGCCGCTGCATGATGCCGCACCCCGTGTCCGCCCGCCCGCCCTATAACGCCTTGTCCCGTTCCCGCCCAGGAAAGGGCGTTGGGCCGCCCTCGGGGAAGCCCCGACCGGCTCTCGGGCCCGGGCAGCCCCGGCAGCGCACGGCCGGGGCGGGCTCTGGGGACAGTTCCCCGCCGGCTCTCCCGCACCCCGGCCCTATCCCAGCCGGGGTAGCAGCCATCCCTACCGGGACCCGGGACCTGTCCGGGCCCTCGGCAGAGCCGCTGGCACTGGGGGTCCCTGTGCAGTGGCTGCACGGGAATGTCCTCTGAGGCTGGAGGTGGGAGCGGGGCTCCTGCCAGCCCCACATAGCACCTGCCCTGCAGGCGTCTCCCAGGAAAAGGAGGTGCCCGCAGAGGCAGGCGTCGGCTGTGGGCCATGGTGAGGGAAGTGCATGTTCTGGTTCCACCAGAGCCAGAACTGAGACAGAAGTTCAAGGTTTCACTTCACCTTCCCAGTGGTAACCCTGCGCTGTGGCCCTGGAGAGCCCCTCACGGCTGCCCGCAGGCTCTGGCCTCCAAACCAGTTCTTGTAAACGCACCAGCCCGAAACAGGAATGGGCCAAAGTGCCGCAGGCCCGGCTGAGCCGGGGACTGCCCGCCAGCCCCTGCCTCAGCTCCCTCGGAGTCCCCCGTGTGGTCCCTGGGAAGTTCCAGGCTCCCCTCCTGTTAAGAGACACTTTCCCGCATCCCTTTCTCCCCATGGCCTGGCAGGGACCGGCGGCTCCTCTGCACCTCCCCGTGCCCTGTCCCCCCTGTGCTGCACCGTGACAGCACCGCAGTGACCACAGCCGCTGCCTCGGCCCTGGCTTGGGGGCTGCGTGCCACGTGCGGCCTTCCGCCCGTGCTCCCTCCCCTGGTGATGGCGGGAGGGCGGCAGCGGCTGTTTCCCCATCCCGCCGTCAGTTCCCAGAACTGAGTCACTCGAGAACACGACGGGTCCCGGGGGAGAGCCGAGGGCAGAGCCCTGGAGGGGATTTTTGTGCCTGGCTCCCGCGGGACCGGCAGGGGAAGTCCCACAGCTCCGGGCACCGGCCGCGCACAGGACAAGCGGCGGAGCCCGACAGGAGCTGCCCGGCGGGGAAGCAGGCACCAGGTCGCGGGTACGGCGGTAGCGGCGGGGCCGGTCCCGGTCCGGGTCCCACCTCGCCCCGCGAGAGATCTGATTGCGCCACCCAGCGGCCTCGCGCCTCTCCCTCCGCGGGACTACGAGTCCCAGCGTGCCGTGCGGCGGCGCCTTGCGGGGTATGCTGGGAGCCAGGCGGGACGTGCAGCTCCGCCCGCCGGGCCCTCGCCTCGGCAGGCATGGCAGCGGGCGGCACGTCAGCGCCTTGCGTCGTAAAGCGTGAAGCATCGTAGTCGCGACGGCGCCGTACGGCAGCGGCGGTTGGCGCCTTTGTGCTGGCGGCGGCGGCGGCGGGAGCGGCGGTGTCCGGCGCGGCGGTGAGTACAGCGGCGGCCCCGCGGTTGCGGCGCGCTCGGTGAACCCTCACGGGGGACGGGTCCCTCCCGGCTGCCAGGCTGGGCTGGGCTGGGCTGGGCTGGGCTGGGCTGGGCTTGGCTTGGCTTGGCTTGACCGGGCGTGCCCTGCGGCCTGCGGGCGGGCCGCGCATACGCCTCGCCGCTCCTGAGGAGCGGGAGCGCGGGTTCGCTGGAAGCTGCCCCAGGGCGGGTCGGTGGCGCAGCAGTAACGGGGCTCAAAAGCGCCTGCTGCCGGGCCGGTGCGTACTGCAGGTGGATTCCTCGTAACTCTGGTGGCGAGCCCGGCCCTCGGCAGCGGCGGAGGCCCTGTGCGAGGCCTGTGGCCGCCGGTGAGGCGTTCGGCAGGGCCTGGCTTGCGTTACCCCTGCTACCGCTTTCCGCACGGGTACCTTTATCCCCGCTTGCGGTCCCGGTGCGGGGCCCTGGGGCGAGAGAGGGTGAGGGCCGCCTCCCGGGCTGGGCCTTGCTTCGGGGCTGCTGGCGCCGTGCAGGACGCTGCTCCTCTCCCCGTTCATGTCGGTGGCGGCTGCAGTCTCTGCTGCTGCCTTGCCCGGCAGCCTCCTGCGAGCCTGTGTCCCCTTCCGTTGTGTTAGTTTGAACATCTAGCTGTGTCTCGCTTTCTGAAGCTCTAGTGCTGTTAATAAATAACTTTGGGTTTAAATATAAGTTTTTTAGGGAAAAGTGGCTTTGGTTAACTCTTCGAGGGCTCACTGCACCCGAGCTGGCTTGGGCTGGCCTCGTGTGGGAACCTGGCCGTGGGTTTTTGCACAGGGGATTGGCACCTTGAAACCACCTTGGCTCATAGTTGGCCTCTGGCTGCATTCATAGGAAAGGCTTAATGTGGAAGTTGGTTCACCCGGTTCAGTGTGCCTGAAGCTTGGACAACAGTCAGTTGTTTCGGTCTTCTGGTTGCTAAATGGCTCCTAACTATGCAATGTGCCAAGTGGAAAATGGTAGGAGGCAGTAAATGCTCTTGTGTGGAAGTTCTTCAGTAATTCAGCCTATCCAGCCGATTTATTGTTTTGCTTTGAAAGTGACCTGCAAATGGGAAAATAGCTCCCTGGTTTCTTCAGGTGGGAAACTCTCACAAAGTATTTAGCTAAAGCTGTTTATATTTTTAGACATTTGACTTGTTTATTTAGAGACTAGTTGTAAACTGTAACAAATGTGGGTTAGCTGTTGGCTGGTTACTGGGAGTAGCTCCTGTTGATACACTCGAGTTCAGCTTTTTTTCCCAGGTTTCTTGCATGTTATAATGGAAATCCCATCTTGCCTTCCTGTAGATGGATGTTTAGGAAGTATGGGAACTTCATTAAGTAGCTTTCAGTCTTTCAAGTTCATCTCAAAAGTTTCAGTGTTTCTGGGTGTTTTTTTTTAAGCTTTATGTAATGGTGACTCTTCAGCCAGGCAGTGGGTCTGGGTGGGGGTTGGGGATTGGTTGCTGTGGTGGGAGTTGTGTTGGGTTCTGTTTGCTGGGGTGGTTTTGCTGTGGAGCTTTGTGTGAGCTTGGGCAGTGCCTGCTCTGTGGTGGTGGGGTCCGCAGTGGGGAAGGGGCACAGTGCTTCCACGGGGGTCCCCAGATTCCCATGTGGACCCGCCTTCTGTGGGAGCCCACACCTGGATGGGGATGAGAACACGCTGTTCACTAGGGGTTGAATGAAAAACTGTATTTTGGCACTGAAAGCCAAGATTCCACATGCAGTGAAGCAATCCAGGTGTGGTCCCTTGGAGCATTTGAGCAGTGCTTCCTCGTGTCTCGCCCAAAGCCTGTATTGAAATCTTTGGGTTATGCAATGTTGTGATGAGTGTTTCCTTTCTGCGTGGTAAAATATCGCATAGACCTCAACTCTGGTCACCAGTGGACTGAAGAATGGGTGTTCTGAAAAGCTTAAAGTCAAGGTGTGTTAATGGAAAATGAGTTTTATTTGTATCTTACTTTGGAGTTAAACCATTAAAACTTGTCTATGAAATTATTGGGGTTACTGCTTTTCAGTATTACAGAAAATCCCAAGCAAAAAGCCTCAGTACATGTTCTTCCCAGAGCTCTGTATCCCTGGGCTAGGATTCCTCTGGAGTGTAATTTACGTTGCACAGCCTTGGTTGGTTTCCAGCCACAAAGCAGTTCAGTTGAATGCCCGGTTTGGTGTGTGGGGTTGCAGTGACACACGTGATGTGCATGGCCCTTTTTCTTTTTTGCGAAGAGTTGCATTTGGGACGACAGCAAAATGGCTCGAGGACGCAAGAGCAATAGCATCAAACAGAGCGACTTCACCAACAGCACCAACCCCCAGGACTTAGAGAGAAGACTTTTTGTCGGCAATTTGCCCACAGACCACATGACTCGTGAAGAAATGGAAGAGATATTTTCAAAATATGGCAAAATCAGGGGTTAGTATTTTATCATTGTGCCTTTTTGTGCCTGGGAACTCAGTGAGAAATACCACTTTCACGCTTGTCAAATGGTATTTGCTGATGATGGGAGGAGTAACTAACCCTGTTCCCAAAAAAGTAACCTTTCAGTGATAATTTTCTCTGAAAAAAGGGATTCCTTCAGCACAGCTGAGATGTAAGGGGTGTATCAGCTACATTTCAGCTTTGGGGTTGCAGTATGATGTTACAAGACTCTTTCAAGTAACTTCATAGTCTCTTAATCAAATCTTGGTCACATGACAGGCTGCATTTTGCTCACTGCCTTGCCAGAAGGCAATGGATCTATGAAATGCATTTCAGAGCCTTTAAGCTCTGCATTTTGATCCTGGTGGATGTGGTTTTCCCAGGAAACTTGCCATGGTTTCTTGGCTTGGGGTTAGGTGGTGGCCTGGGTGTGGGTTGATGGTGTCCCCTGGTTGTAACCAGTCTTGCCCTGCTGTTGCCTTTTCCAGCCCTCAGCATGTACCATGGCTATGGGTTCGTGCAGTACGACCGTCTGGAGGATGTCCAGGCCGCTCTGGACGGGGAGAAGGGCCGCCTTTATAAAGGGTATAGATTAGGTAAGGAAAACTGCTCCGTGCTCTCCCACTGACCCCAGCATGCATCCCAGTAGAGAGCGCTCTTGTCCTAAAGCTCTCCAGAAAGATCCCTATGTTACACTTGCCTGGTGTGAGACTCAAATCACTTTTAGTAGCTGTGCATTTCCCTTCGGTTACTTGCTCTAAGTGCTGTGTTTCATCTTCCTACCTAGGTCTTACTCTGAACTTACCTCTGTTTGTTAGTATTTGAAAAGGTCTGCTGCCCTGTGTGAGAGGCTGCTCTAGCCCTAGGCAGTGCTCATCACAACCTCGTGCATGTAGTTTTAAAACATTTAAAAACATTTGTAGAGCAGCACTGGTTCCTCTTGGCAGGCTCAGGAATTGGTCACAGCACTCAGCAGCTTGCGAGCCCAGTAATCTTGGGTGGGTTTGCACATGTCAGTCTGAAAGCAGTGTGTAAATACCAGGTGCGTTAAAGAGGTCATTTTCATAAAGATAAAAACAATTCTGCTAAATGTGCTGGGAGGACACTTAAACAGGAGCAAATTGTTAGAAAGCTGAGTAATCTGTTACATGCAAGCAAAAAATTACTCTTGAAGTAAACCTATGCTAATTTGAAGACGAACAGTTTGACTTAGAAAGGAGTGAAAGGAGCAGTAAATGATGACTTGTAGGAAGGTGTGTGTAGAGTAACAAACCCAAGCCTCAAGATGGAAATGCAGGCAAATAGACAAGGAGGGTAGAAGGATATAAGAAGAAATTATGGCCAGCATTGTCTAAGTCTAGAAGCTTAAGCAGGAACAACTGCAGCTGCTTTAGCAGCTGAGGTGTAACTGTCAGGGGATGATAACAGTTTCTAACTGGAAAGACCACTTGGTTCTCAGTTTCTGCTGTCTCTCTTTGAAGAGGCACAAGGAGCTTTAATATAAATTGCATTTCAGTAGCAAAATTGAAAAGGTAGAGCAGCAGCTACCAAAACCGGACCCCTCAAAAATTTTAAATCTCATGTCTGTGAGTCTCAGTGCAGACCTGCCTAGGATGTTCCTATTGTTTTCCCACAAGCCTTGGGAAAACCAGGGATTTTCCAGGGCCATAGCAGAGTGGTGTAGATGTGCCAGTCAGCAGCGTAAGTGGGACAAGCGAGGCATCAGCCCCTGATAGCAAAGGGATTCTTCCACCTGACACCCACTGAGAAGGGAATTCATTAATGCAAATCAAAAGAAATCCTACCTCTTACTCCACTGATACTGTGAGCTTTATGGCTGAGAGCAGCAGTGTTGATATAAAGGCTTCTGTAAGATGTTTGGTTTGATTAAGCAGCTAAACAATTAAAACCAACATAGGGTTAAATGGAGTTCAGTATAACATAGATGGAGTTGCTCAGTGCTTTGAGTGGTGTTCTGGGGGATTCCTGGCCATGCAGTGCTTTTGTAAGTGACTTGGGGAGAAAAGACCATCATGTTTCAGAAAAAGAATGAAATAATTAAGATGGAGTTACTGGTGGTGAAATGACCTGGACTTCTTCCTAAGCTGGATGCAGGCAGATCTGAGCTCTCACTAAAGCCAGAAGGGAAGATCTGCACCCAGCAAGAGTGCTTTTGTCATTCCTGGCTGTACAAAACAGTTTTGTAAGCAGGGAGGGTTTGCTGCCCTGGGGTATACTGCTGGAATACTGTATTCAGATCTGGTATGCCTGTTTCAAAGAGGATAGTGTTAAATGGGAGAAGCCTCAGAAAAACCTGAAGGAGGCTTAAAGGGCTGAAGAACAAGTCCTAGCAAAAGCCTTGAGATAAAGGAGTGATGTGATCTGTATAACAGACAGACCTGAAGATAAGCAAGTTTTAATCTAGTAGGCTTAGGCATGACAAATCCTTAAATGGAAATAAATAGTTTTCTTCAGCAGCAGAGTAATTGACTTCTGGAATAACTCGTTGAAGCTTTGGTGCTTTCTGTGCTCTGAAAATGTTTAAATTGGAATTGAATGTTCTGCTGAAAGATAAGCTCGAGCTCAATGCCACTGCTGCACTTGAGATAGGAATGTGATTCAAGGCTCTCTTGTCACCCGTGTTCATTCAGAAGGTCACTGCAGTGGCCCTGTCACCTCAGAACCCTGCAGGACAGAAGACTTTCTTTTTTTCCTCTGAAGTTTTGTCACTGTTCACGTACTTAACCTGTAAATGCTGTTGGCATTAAATAAAATGTTATTAAATCTGTTCATTTTGCACCAGAGGAGGGTCCCTATCAAAGGTGGTTTTCTTCTTCTAGGAAAACATTTTGGTTCAGATTTTCTTTTTTTTTTTTTTTCAAATACTGTATGGTTTTGAGTGTAAAAATCCTGATAGGTGTCTGCAATGGCATCGTAAAAGAGAATAAAAATAATCTTAAACCAAAGAAAGCAGATAGTGTCTTGCTTAAAGATAACACTTGCCTTTAAAGGGACAAAAATCTCAACTAAAAAATAAATGCAAGGAGAGAGTTGCTTCAGTTACACAGCATGAGCATCAAATGTAACTGCTAAGGACGCAAGTCGGTAAAAGGCTTTGGGAGAGTTCAACTCCATTGTTGCATTACCCTAATGCTTCCACAGACACATAGAAGTGTGTTCGTTATCTTTAATGGCTAAAGCGATGTAGGGAATAAATGCCCATCAAAGTTTGTGACAACAGGTAACAAATGCAGCTGATCCTGGGGATTGATCCTGGGGACTGCTCTGTGGTGTTGAGTGCTCTGGTGCTGCAGTTCAGGTTCAGGCTGCACTTGCTTCTGTCCCCCCAAAAAAGAGAACAAGCTGCTCCTTGGTGGACAACGGGAGCAAAGCTTAGGACAGATCCTGTAACTGAAAGTTCTAAAGGATCGTTTATGAAGCTGCAGAAGATGTTAAGACTGAGGCTTGCTAAAGCCAAGCGGCATGTTTATTCTCTTGCAAGAACTTTGAAAGGAGCTAATGCAAATAGCTAATAGGAACTCTTAAATTGTTGATAGATTCTTGGGAAGCAGATACAACCTGGGTTGGTTTTGTTTGTGTCCTTTAAAGGCTCTGAAACATCTGAAAAAACATCTGAAGATGTTTCTGTCTGTTCTTGCCCCCTCTTCAGTGTCTTATTTCATCCTTAGTCAGCTGTTACCAAAGGCTTTTTTTCCTCACAGTAGAACAAATCGGTCTCTGCCAGTTCTGGGCGGCTTCATTTTTTCTGGTTGAGGACAAGACTATTTATCCAGTTCTCTTACTTTGCATTTCACTTCATGGTGATTTTCATGGAGGTGCTCAGAAGCCAACCAGTTTTCAGTTTCTGATCTGTTGCATCACTTTGCATCATGTTAACAGTGGTGCTTTGAATGCGTCATGTTGACCTTCCCCAGGAGCTTGTGCCTCAGGCTCCCCGGATCCCGCTCACTGAGTGGAGGCTGCAGCCATGCCTTGGGAGGCAGTTGCATGTGCCACTTGGGAGCCTTCATGTTCTCAATAAGGGTAGCAGTATGCTCCGTTGAACAGGTCTGGCTGGGAACTTAAGACTGCTGGCTGTCCGCTTCCTTTCTTGGAGGTTTTCAGACTCTGCTTTTTCTCCTAGAGTCCATGAGTTGCTTTCTGTTCACTCATAGACTGCAGAAGAAAGAGGTTCTCTTATGGAATGAAGAGTCTGCATGTGGGCCTGAACATAAAGGGTTAAAACACTACCCAGGCTGTCCACCCTGTTTTGAAGTCAGAAATACATGAACATTTCATTATGTTGTACTGTCTAAACTTAATAAAAAATTGTCAAAGTGACAATGTCTCTCTGCTGAATGGATTTTCTTGCACCATCTGGATGTTGTTGAGCTTAAGTTGCTTTCATTTGAATTGTGCTGATGATATTTTTTTTGTTCCGTAGCATTGAACAGATGGGTTGATTATTCTTTACAGATATTAATAAAGCAGTGGAAAGAAGAAATATGAATAAGGCTTCATCAAGGTCCAGTCCGGCACGAAGGTAAAGTACCTGGAAGCAGTGAGTTGTAGTAGGAAGGTCAGGGCATTAGCCCAGTGGCCTGTGCTAAATGTGTTTGTCTCCCCCACGGCCGCCCCCAGTCAGACTGCGACACTCAAGTGAGACAGCTGGGACGTGGCTGCTGCAGCTCTCGGGGGCCTTCTGTCACTGGCACCTCGGGAGGCATGAGGGAAACCTTGTGTCTGCTGCTGTGACTGCAGCTAAGTGTGATGTTTTGCAGCAAAAGTTGTAAGGGACTTGTGAGGAAGAATACACTTGATGTTCTCTCCTGCCTCAAGTGTCAGAGAAGCTGAGGCATATCTAGGGAGTGCTACGGCCCAGTAGCATTCCCAGTACCATGCTGAAGAGGACTTCAGGACCTTGTCTCTTCTGATGTCAGAAGCTTCCAGTGCTGAAATGAGACTGGAAAAAAACATATGAGTGAAGCACAAGACAGAGCAAACATCTGTCTTGCACTGTCCTGCCTGCCAGGACCTGGAGCCAGGTTAGTGATGGGCACCTGCCAGCTTGTCATCATTTCCCATCCCTCAGTAGGCACAGCGTGTGCCGCTCCTGCACCTCCTCTGTATGTGAAGTCACAGGCAAGTGGAGAAGACCCAGACTGTCCTGTCACAGGAGGGCAACTTCAGGTTCCTTTCCATGGCACTACTGGGAGCACACAAAGATGTGCTGTGGTGGTAGCTTGGTGTAAAGTGTGCATCTTCTGTGCCTGTACTGTGAAGCTTTCCACACTGTTTCTTGTTGGAGTTGAAGGTTATCAAGCCCTGACATGTCTGGTGTGGTCTACAAACTTGACCTGTTTAATTACAAAAAAAAAGAGGAAAATGTGCAGCCAGCAAGACATCTAGCACCAAAAAAACCCAGCAAATGTGTGGCTGCAATAGTTGGCATCATCTAGGTTTTTTGTATGTGCTGCACTTAGCCTGCACAGGGCCAAATGCACTTGCAGAGACCATCATGCTACAGGAACCACTTTGGCCACACAGCTGGGCGGTCCCCTTACACATCTGTAAACATCCAAGCCTTGGGCCTGGGCAGTGTGAGGTGTGCTCAGTGCTGACACAAGGACCCCAAGCACACTGCAGGTACATGAGCATTGATGGCATGTCTTTGGCTTCAGGCTCTGATGCCATGAGCGTTGGTCCTCAGACCACACTGGGAGGGACAAGCAACAGGTGTTGATGCACTGGGACCTGTGTCATCCTGTGTGTGCAAGAGCAGATGGCCACATCAAGGCCCCCAAGGAGCACTGAAGCTGCATGAGCATGTCGAAGGCTATGGTGCCGCTGAGAGAGGCACTGGATTCCAGCTGGCACTGCAGACACCATGGCCATCCCTTGTCACTAGCACCGGTCCCAAGCAGCACTGTGGGCATCAAGTCCTGGGTGTGGATAATGGACCTGCTCCATGCTGCAGGTGTGTGAATGACATCAGAGGAGTCCTGCGCCGCAGTGCTGAGTCCTGAGCAGACGTGGGCAGTGGGGCTGATGCTGTAGGAGTCAGACTGTGGTGATAGAGGTGCATAAGGCCACTGTGCCTTCGTGCTGCTGCCTCTCTGCAAGCAGCCTGGCAATGATGAGGAGCAGAGGGGATCCACACCACGTCTGTGCTTCTGTGGCAGTTGTGCGGTTCTTGTTCCGGATCTATTTGTCTCTGCAAATAGTGGATGTGGCCTGTTCTGGTCACTCCACTCCCAGCTGGAATAAATGTCCTATGCCAAACAATCCTGCTGCATCTGGCTGTTTTGCTGTAGTCCTGCAGCTACAGAATGACCAGGTACTCAGTATCCATTAGAGCAAGTGGGAAGTTTCCCCTGAGCTTCTGCCATGGTTCACTGTAGGTTGGGGGGAAGGGGACAAGGACAGTGTATCTCATATGATGTGGTTTCAATACAGATCACAGACAACGGGATCTGTGTGTCCAGGAGGCTGAGGGAGTTTGCACTTGTGTGTATGCCGATAGTGTTTCTTTCACAGGAGGACACTATGTATGTTCTTGGTGGCACCTCTGTAGTGTGTCCTGAGGTTTGTTTCAAACCTGACATAAAAGCAGGGAATGCCAGTGCTCCTGTGTGTCCCCCAGCACAGCTGGGTGTAACCACCCAAATCCATGCACAGGCTCTGCACATCCGTCTCTGCCTGTCACTGAACTTGGGCACATCTGACTCACTACTCCTGCTGTTCTCTCCAGGTGACTACCACATGAATGCATCACAGTGGAAGCAGACTTGTGTTCTGCTTATCTTTCATAACCTGGATTAGGCTGGTAGAGGACTCTAAATGTCTGTCAACTTTGGGAAATAAAAAGATTCAAAAAGCTGATTTTCTTCTGATGGCTGTCAGTATCTTGGGGAAAGAACATTCTGCACACGGTTTCTCTGCAAGATTTTTTCTGTTTGACTTACACTGCAGTGAATTGATTTGGGTTTTTTTCTGGAAAACAAAATATGACCTGGAAAAAAACCTACTTTTTTTTGGAAAAGTTGAAGACTAGGATGCTATTCTTCCTTTCCTCCGAAGACAATGCAGTACAAAGTCTGAATGAGATGGATCATTCAGATACAACAGAGAAGCTGTTGCTGCTGAGGATGTGGTGCTGGTGGGGTTTGGTACCCCCTTAACAGGGCCATCATACGCATAAGACTGGCTTTGTACAGAGACTCTCCCTTCCAGTGCAGGACACGGCAGCTGCTGTCGCTGCTTTCTGCTGGCAGCACAAACCCAACCACAACATGGAACCTGCAGTGCCTTTGGTCACAACAAAGTCCTTTTTTGATCATATGACAATAACAGATTATTTCAGGTGTTCTGCTGTCATTGACTGGTGAACTTAATGGATCCCATGAATGCTCCTGGCTACTGCAGATCTGTGGGTATTGGGCACCAGCACCTTGAATGCTCTCAAAGAACTTGCAAAACCACATTTGATAGATCTGAGGCTGGAGACCTTAAAATGGTGTTTTCTTAGGTGCCTGTTAACTTTCTCTACAGGTGCTCTGTGCTTTTAATGATGCTTCATTAAGGAGCTTTCTGGGTCTTGTTTGGTGTGAGAAACACTGCAGTTAAAAGCTTCTCCAGGCTGCTTCAACAAATATGGTTTTGGGGCAGTTCTTGTTATTGTGGGTTAGGAGGGAGGATTCAACTGCTTTGGCACCTCAGGTAAGAGATCTAGGGGTAATTGTACTGTGTCATTAGCAGTCTAATGGACTGTCCCTGGTGTTTTCCTCAGGGAACCCTATGCCTATGGGGATGGCCGAGACAGCAGACGTGACCGCTCCCCTCTTCGGGGGAGCCCACGGAGAGACCCCAGAGATGGTAGAAATGGCCGAGATTCCAGAGACACTCGAGACATTCGAGCTAGAGACATGCGTGATGCCAGAGACCACAGAGACCCCCGGGACCTGCGGGACCCACGGGACATCAGGGATCCAAGAGACCTGCGGGACCCTCGTGATGTTCGAGACCTTCGTGACCCACGGGAGCCGCTGTATGATCGATACAGGGATCCACGGGATATGAGAAATCCACGAGATATGAGGGATCCACGGGATATGAGAGACCCTCGGGACCCTTTGTACAGGTAATCTCCCTGGGACTGTATTTGCCAACACATTTTATGGTGTTCCTGCCTCAATGGCTGTGCCGGGTTGCGTGGTATCAGGTGTCTAAGATCAGGAAATTGCTCCAGCTGGGGACAGTTGGGTGCCTGCTTTGGGTCTTGAGGGGAGCAGGTGAGTACTCCAGAATTAAAATCAAGGAGGGTTTGTGTGTGCTGCATTGCCCAAAGTTATTGCCTGAGCTGGTGCTGGAGCATGGAAACCTTTGCTGCTTCTGTCAATGTTGCAGGCGAGATGAATCCTATGACCGTTACATTCGCTTCGAAGACTACTGTCGGCGGAAGGACGACTCTTACTATGACCGTTACAAAGAGCATTTTGACAGAGCACCAGTGAATTCAGATGGTGAGTACCTGTAATGTTGTAATGGGCAGATTCACATCTCCCACTGGAGAGTGTGGGAGATGCTATGGTATCTTGAGATGAAGGCATCATGTGTTCTGTCCCTGGGCCTGGCTTTCAGAGCGCCTGAAGCGCGAGGAGCGGCGCCGGGAGGAGCTGTACCGTCAGTACTACGAGGAAATCAAGAGACGTTTTGATGCAGAGAGACCTGTGGATTGTTCTGTGATCGTGGTGAATAAACAGACAAAGTAAGAAAACAGTTATGACAAATTTTATTATCACATGGTAAAAAAAAATAGAACTAAACTTAGTCCTTCCTTGAGGCTTTGTCTTGCTAGTTGTTTTTGAACAATGTGGCTTTAGAGCCCTTGGAAAGTTGACAGTGCCTGTTGCTGTTCTGGGAGCATAGGTTGATAAGATGGAGAAATGCTGTATCTTGTGCTTTACTTTTATTTCTTTCTTGTCACCTATCACTATACCTTCTCCTGTTACTTTTCTACTTACTCTTCATATCAGCCTACTGCCGTGACAGGTTATAGCAGTCTGTACTTGCTATTCATGGGTTGAATGATACATACGTGCCAACCAGCAGATACTGCAGAGCAGGTGTTGAGGGAGTCGGGGGGGTGTTAGTTTCAGCGCTCCTGTCACACTGGTTACTAGGACAGATACCTGTCACCACCGCCAATCTAACATGCAAGAAATACAAAATCACTGCTGCCAGTCATGAGCAGTGTCAGAGCACGTGTGAGTAGTAACCAGGGCGAGCTCCTGAGGCAGCCCAAGCACTGCACTGGGAACAGGAGGGCACACCTGTGCCTGGTACAGTGTGGGGGGGCCCGTAATGATGGCACCACTCTGATGTCTACAGCTTTACACATAAATATGTTGAAGAATAGAAAATAGTAAATAAATCGTAGACCTGACCTGGAGTCTAATTAAAGTGTTTGTCAAGGGGAGATATAAGGCTCTGTCTCTGTAGCCCTGCAGAAAAAAGATCAAGAATTAGTTTTATTTAACTCTGCTCTGTCTGTGAGGCAGAAAAACAGCTGGTGCTTGCCTGGCCTGATGGTGGAAGACAGAACAGGAAATGGGAACAAGGGAAGCAGTGAAACTAGACATAAACTCTTGTGTTTTGCTTTTAATGGAGTTGATTGCCTAGTGGAACAGATCTTGAAAGGGAATTATAGATTCTTTATCCCTTGGTGACTAAAAGTCTTTAGAAGATGTTCTAATAGGGCACAAGTTATTGTACTTGATATAGGGAGTAATTTTCTGTGCAAGAAGACCAGCTTAATATCCTAAGGATCATTTTGGTCTGTAACAGCTAGAAACCTTAAGAGCTGGAGCATGTAATAAATGTTGGGTATTGAAGCAATGGTGTCACCTACTACAGAACTGTTAAAGGGGACTCCTAAATGACTTGGTCCATGGTGCATGGTCCAGGTAACTTAGAAATCCTTAGAAGGACAGTTGGGGGTAACAGTTTTAGTCATTGTTAACAGTGTTCACATTCAAAGATGATGAACTACACCTCTTTCAGAAGGGGTGGGTGCACAGACTAAACTGCAGGACAGAGGATACAAGAACTGTGGATCCATGGATGCTGTGTCGATGCTGAGCTAGAGCAGAAAGCATCAGGAAGAACAAATGAGCCAGAAATAAGGAATAACGCACATTTGAACAGTTAAGATACTGAACATAGTACAAGTAACTTCTGTAGGCTGGCTGCTCTGCTATTTGCCCCTTAGATCCCTGTGGGCATAAATCACCTCACTTAATGAGTTTGGTTTAAACACATTTATATGCAAACCAGTCTATAATAGTGTAAATCCTTTTGCAAACACTGTTTCTCAGCTAAGCTAAGGTTTGATTTGTAATTTATTTCAGTTAAACTGAAATGACTGATTCAGATCAAAACAAGGGCTCTTGCATCACTGTAATGAGGTTGCTGTAATACTGTCCTGTTACACACTGTGAGATTTGGCAAGCCATCAGAGCAGTGAATCTGAGGTGACAGCGAGGGTGGGTGTGCCAGGGTTTCTGTTTCTGTGTGACTGACGTGTTAAACTCTACTGGCTTTGCTTTGTGGTAGGGAGTATGCGGAGTCAGTGGGGCGGAAAGTGCGGGATCTGGGCATGGTAGTGGACCTGATCTTCCTCAACACAGAGATGTCACTGACGCAAGCCCTGGACGATGTCAGCAGAGGAGGGTCTCCTTTTGCCATTGTCATCACCCAGCAGCATCAAGTTCACCGCTCTTGCACTGTTAACATCATGTTTGGCACCCCACAAGGTACTGAGGTCTTAATAGGCTCTGTAGCTGTGTGTTTGTTCTGAACCACTCCAAGTGCTGCTTCAGAACACTTTCAAGCAGAATCACACAGGACAAGGTTCATCCCTGCTGTGATATATAAGTAGTTTAATGACTCAACACCACGTCATAAACGTGAATATTGTTATTTACAAGTTTCCATAATACTTTATTTGTCCCTTGTCAAAAGGACTGTTTTATTTCTACCAAGAGAGAATCTCAGCTGCATTCTCAGCACCTAATACCACCAGCCTTTGCATCTGAGGGCAAGCTGTGAGCCCCAGCTCTAGAAATGATGGCATTGCCCTGGCAGATTTCTGAGTAAGACCAGTCCAGCCTCAGGTTATCACTTGTTGTTCTGACAGAGAGCGTGTTTGGAATGTGGCAAATTACAGGACAGATTTTAAGACCACATGTAATTTAAGGAAAACAGGATAATGATCATGTGTTTGGGCAAGGTAAAGATCCAGTCATGAAACTGGAAAGAGTTCTAAAAAGATTGGACTATAAAGGTGTTGGGTCTATGTGCGCCACCTTCTGAGCACTGCTTACGCTTGTCACATCACTTCATCCTGAGGTGTGACTTGGTGGCTGTGAAGGGTGGGTGTAGGTATTAAAACGAGTTTCATCACAATGTGATTTTGGAGAGCAGCCTATGCTCTCATAGAAGGCCTCTGCACATCCTCTGTTTACACATGGGGCTTGTGAGGCTGCACTTGAGCTTTGGGAGGTTATTGCTCCCTTACTGTGTTCTCAAGTAGTGTTTTGTGAGGTTCATCAGGGAGAGTAAACATCTGAATGCACACTCACTGCTTTTTGAGTGCTGACTGACTGAGGAAGCCTAGGTTTCTTTAGCATGGGGTGCAGATGTGGTAACTTCTGCAGAAATACAGCTCACACACTTCACTGGGCTTTCCACTGCCCTTGGTTTTAACTCTTAAGTCCTTTGGTTAACACCCATATTCCCACAAAGCTTACCTTCTTTTCCGGGTCTAATGGTGTATCACATCTGATAAGAACCCCAGCTCATCCACAGCTCTTTCTAGAGATGAAACATGCTCACTTGAACCACACACAGCCAACTTTGCATTCACATCAGTTTCAGGGAACCCTTTCACCACTGGTGCAAAGCATAATGTTAAAATGAACCCCACTTTCCTGTTACAAGGAAATGGGTGCCAGGAATTATTGTTCTGCAGGTGTGAAAAGTGCTCAGAGATTTGGGCACTCTTTGGAATGTGAAGGTTCTTTTTATCTCCCTGCATAAAGCTGTGTTCAGGGCATTGTTTGTGTCTGTGCTTTGTGAGGTGGAAATTATGACCTCAAAAACTTCAAAAGGCAGCTGCACAAAACACCAAAAAGTGTTGTGGTTGGCCATTACTGGGTGCATTGTAGAACCCGATTGCTGCTTACTGCCCCTGAGTAGTAAACATAAGCAGCAATGTGACCTTGAGCCAGTGCTCTCCTCCCCACCTCCTGTGTACACACACCTTATTGAGGGGTTGGCAGTACAGAACCAAGTATTCCCACTGCTGTCCTCCTCCGGAAAGCTTTAGCAGCCTTCAGAGGACAAGTTTTGGATCTGCCCAAGGGTTTAGCAGCTGGAAATGTCTCTTAGAGAGGAGAGAACTTACGTGAGAGGTAGAGGGAGCTGCTGTCCCTTCTTAAATGGGTCTGATCCAATGTCTTGTCAGAGCCCTGAGCTACGGAAGGAAAGGATGGCCTTGCTGGGTGATAGCCTTGAGCCTGTCATTGGCTTAGGAAATGAAGCTGTTACTGTGTGCCTGGGAAGCTTCCCAAGTCTGTGCCTGCAGTCCTTGCCTGCTGAATGAGATGCGCTGATGTGCATGAAGCAAGGCACCTCCTGTTCCCCTCCTTTGCTTTCCCTCGTGCAGAGCACCGCAACATGCCCCAGGCCGATGCCATGGTGCTGGTGGCCAGGAACTACGAGCGCTACAAAACGGAGTGTCGGGAGAAGGAGCGGGATGAGATCGCCCGGCAGGCGGCCAAGATGGCAGATGAGGCTGTCCTGCAGGAGCGGGAGCGCCCCGGCCCTGGGGACGAGGGGGCCCGGGGAGGTCATCCCCCGGCGATCCAGACTCTCCTGAACCTGCTGGCAGACAACCGCTACCTGACTGCCGAGGAGATGGACAAAGTGATCAACTACCTGAGGGACCGGAAGGAGCGGCTGCTGAGGGGCAGCACCGAGGCTCTGCAGGGTAAGACTCGGGCCCAGGCGAGGCCACCGGTGGTGCGGTGTGTGCTCCCCCTGGGCTGGGACAGGGAAGGTACTGGGATTCCAGAGAGGTCCTGGTGCCATAACTGCCTCACACAGCACCTCAGTTTGCTGAAATGGGCATGGCCCTGGGACAACTGAGACCATTCGGATCTTTCATGTGAAAGAACTTTTTATGCTGGATTCTCTCAGGAAAACGATGGAACTGCCATAACTTGTTTGGCTGCTCAAGAAGAGCAACAGCTCTGTGGAGTGGTTTGGGTTCCCCAGAGCTGTGCAGCTCTCCTGTTCAGAGGAGGGTATTCACTGAGAGTTGTGGCTTCGGTAGCTGTTTCATGAGTTTTCTTTAGGTGTCCCTTCAAGGGCATGTGCAGAGCTTTAACCTTCTTCCCTTTCTTTTGCAGCACCCATGTCAAGACAGTCTCTGGGGGCACCTTCAGGATCATCTCTGGGTGGTCAGTCCAGCCTTCCAAGCAATCAAGCTCATCAGGGTTCACAGCCTCTGGTCTCTGCTCCTCCTGTTCCAGTGTCCTCTTCTAATCCTCAGCAGGAGCTTCAAGCAAAAATCCTCAGTCTCTTCAACAGTGGGGCAGCAGCAGTGGCCAACAGCACTCCTGCAGCCGCTGCCGGCACGTCGGGCAGCACACCAAGCCAGAACTTTGCTAGCATGGGCAGTGGCCAGGTCCGCCCAGCACAGATGGGTGCTGGAAACTTGAACCAGGCTCAGCAGAGATTGCAGACTCCAAGCACACAGATTCCTGCTCTCCAAGGCCCTTCAAGAAATGCAGGTCCAAGGCCTGGAGCTCCTCCACAAGCTCAGTCGCTCTATGGTCAGCACCAGAATCGCCTCCCTGCACCTAGCAATGTACCTGCTCAAAGGCCAGTATCTTCTGGTATCAACTTCGACAACCCCAGTGTGCAGAAAGCCTTGGACACCCTTATCCAGAGTGGTCCTGCACTCTCTCATTTAGTGAGCCAAACAGTGGCCCAGGGGCGAGCAGGGTCTGCAGTCCAGCAACCTATGGGTTCCTACCAGCGACACTACTAAAGCTGAGCTGTCAGGCCCTTTCCCCCTCCCTTTGCCATTCCATACTTATACTTGTTTAAAGAGTTTCCTGTCCTTGACACGGGACAAATGCCCCTGGATATGCATGTGCTCTCCACTTGATGAGAGCATACCCCAGTGGCACTGTGCTCTGGCTGGCAGTGTCTGGAGAAGCATGCTCTGGTTCCTTGGTGGCAGGAGCTGGTTTTGATAGTTGGTTGTTTTGTCCAGTCCCAGAAGCTGCTGCAGTGATTGCCCTGCTGCATTTTCCTCGCTTCCAGCAGCTGGTGCATCTCCGTGTTGAGGTGCAGTCTGGTCTTCTTTGGATCAATGGTTTTGAAGACACGGGACTGGACAGAACCTGACTGGCCTCTTGGAGACGCACCTCCTCAGAATGGGCACTCTTTTTTTTTTGGGTTTCTTTTTTCAATTCCTTTTTTTTTTTTTTTTTAATGACACATAAGCCACTTGGAAGGTCCAGTGGTAGCTTTAGAGCTGAACTCATGGAACACATGCCTGACCCTACTCAGTCACCCAGCACTGCACTGTATGGACTTTCCTTGCTGGAGAGTCCCGACAGAGGAGTGCTGCTCATCACACCCAGCCCATGGAAAGCGGCAGCTTTGGCCCCAGTACTGTGGCAGATCCGAAACGAGTTTCCACCCAAGGCAGAGGTTTGAAATGGGCTGTCAGTTTTCCTGCACTCAGCAGTTGGTGTTAAGATTTATCTGTTAAATTTGGCATATAAATTTCCTTTCATCTAACCCTGACTGGGGACAGTTGGTTGCTGTAGCCCAAGAGCTCAGCCACAGCCATGCTGCTGGCCTTGCCTTGGCAATACCTGGAGCCAGTTACAAGGGGTGGGTGTCTGCTCTCGCTGTTGGTTGGTGTTTTGTCCATCCGAGGAGGTGAGGCAGTGCCATGATGCAATACTATCATTTTATACGTTTTCTTCAACACTTTGGTAGCTGCAGCAGGCAGTTGAGTGGAAAATGGGGCAGTGATTCTTCACCATGTTTATAACCAGTAACATACTTTGATACCAGAACACAAAACATCTCTGAACGACATGGTCCTCCCCATCACAGCCCCTTAGTCCGGGCAGTACTAAGGGAGCAGTGTTCTCGGAGCTGAGGGTTCCTTTGTCCCAGGTGGTTTGTGTTGTAGCAGTTGGGTTTTTTTGCTCTCTGTGCTGTTAACAGGAGGACTTTACTTTCTAATAAAAAGGTGGGAAAAAAATTTTGCGTTTTGTTGTGGTTTTGACACTTGACAGGTTGTGTACTAGTGAATGCCCCATTGCCATTGCTCTCTGCTTTCAGATGAGCCATGTCAGGTGCTGTCCAGAGCCGGGTGTGTAGCAGGCAGCTTATGAACCTTGCTGTGACCTGCTGTGAGAGCGCCTCAGGCAGCACCTCCCACACCCTTTGCTGGCAGAGCACTTGGGTGGCCACAGGCAGAGCTGCTGAAGTTGGGATGAGCTGGGACTGGCATGTGGGGTCCCAACACTGTGGGAGCTGGTGTGGAGGGGAGGGATGCTTAGGAAGCAGCAAGCTGCTCCTGTGCTGCTGCGAGCTGCTTCAGTGCCACTGAGCTACACCTCCCCATGTGTTCGGCACTGGCTTTCCTCAGTGTGGTGCTGCCACTGCTGCAACCTGCAAGTGGGTGGAAGTGTGTTTGTCTCCCATCTTTCCTCCTCCAGTCTCTCTTTGTTAGGTCCCTTTCTCTGTCTCTACAACCCCGCAGACAGGTAAAGACTTTGCTGGGGTGATCAGAAATTTGCATGAGCTTAAACATGGGAACTGGCCCTGGGGAGAGGCTGTTCCTCTCCTGCTGTTCCCTGTTCGGGATTTCTCCTAGTTATGGAAATAGAATCAGCCAAGTGCTAAATAGCTGTGGAGATCCTGGAAGCAAGGGAAGACTCCCCATGCGAGTAGTGAAGGGTGTAATAAAATCATTTATTGCATTTTGTGCAGACAGGAGTCTAGAAAAATGGATACAGTTAAAGCAGTAAAGCATTAACAGGGAGCATTCAACAGCTGAGGAGCCACTCCTCCATTAATACCTGCACAAAGAACACAGGGGCTGTTACTGAGGCGGCCTAATGCACAATAGTGAAACACAGAAATTAAATGCAAGCCTAATACTGTTACTTTTTTTTTTCTTTTTTTTTTCCCTTTTTTGGTTTGCAACCCATTTTATTTACAAGGTTTTAAACTTAATTGCATTGCTCTGCACACAGGTTCTCTAAAACACAAAGCATACTAGGTTACCACGTGTCTATTGAAGTATTGCACTGGAATAAAAGTCACTTGAATGGACGCAAAACATCAAGCTACGGTGGTTAAAAGATTATTGAATGAGCTGACTGTGTGGTAACATTCATAACAAATATATTGCACATGTAGCACAGAAAGTGGTGTAACCAGCAAATCTCAGACCCTTTGGTCTTTCTGCTAGTTTTTAGTCCTGCTACACAGAGGAGGGTCTTGACTCTTCTAGTGCAACTCCTACCCTTGTGCAGTATCTCGTCCTGCCTCTCATCCAGCCATGGACCAACACCAGCCCAGGCTGGAGCTGCCTGTGCCTCTGGCAAGGGCTATCTTGTGCCTTGGAACCCGTACTGCGCGGTGGCTGCTGCTGCTGCACACGGGGACAGGGCCACACAACGCTCCCACTGCAGGAACCGGAGCGTGCGCTGCATCCCGGCCGAGCACGCTGTGGGTGATGTGCTCCTGCCTGCCGCGGGCCTTGCCATGCCCTGTCCTGCAGCGCTGCGCAGCGCCACAGAGCCCATGGCGCAAACCGGGGTCAAGACCTCCCTGTCTGGAACAAAACCGAGCCGTGTCTGTGCATGTGCCAAGGAGGAACTTGCACGTCTACCGGAGGAGGACACTGTCTTCACCAAGGTGGAACGGCAGAAGGGTGCTCCATGGGGAAACTGAACACTCACAGAGGCCAAACGTGCAGGGCTGGGTTTGTAAACTAACATGCAGTGCTGTCTGCTAAAACTGGCCCTCTCAGCCACGGCGCGCGAGCACCCGCTGTGGAACCAGCCCGTTTCTTGCCACAGCCAAATTTTGCCTGGCGGGGCATTGAGGCAGCCCTGTCTCTGTCTCGCGCTGTGCCCCTGCCCCTGCTGAGGATGAGGAAGGGAAATGCCTTTTTCCAGCAGCAGCGAGCAGAAAAGGGCTGCCCTTCCTGCTCCCTGGGGTGCCGGGACCCTGCTTCACTGCGGGGGATAAGGTGGTGCTGGGGGGGAATGGGATCTGCTGGTAATGCTGGGGAGGGGGTGAGCAAATCTCTCACTGGGAAAGCGTGGCCTGACCGCGGCGTCGCCGCTGCGGAGCGGACATGGACCCCGCTCCCTGCACCCGCGGCCATCGAGGCGGAGGGAGCCTCAGCAGAGGCACAACCTACCCCTGCCCCGCGGCCCTCGGTGCAGACCTGGGGCAGGAGGGGAGACCCGGCTGACTGCTGCACGGCCAGGGGCAGGGCAGGAGCCGGGCTGTGAGGGGAGGGTGGGTGGCAGGAGCAGGCAGGATCTTTCGAAGGCAGAGCAGCTGACAGGCGACCCAGGCCCAGCAGGCATGGAGCTGGCACGAGGTGAGCGGGCAGGTTGCTGCACTCGCCTCCCCCTTGCCTCAAATCACTCTGGGAGGCTAAAAACAGCACATGAGCTTGTGTGGTGCTGCAGGATGAGCTCCAAGGGCAGAGCGGCTGCTCACCAGCACATCTGGTTCCCGTGGGGCTGCCCTTCCCAAAGCTAAAGGAACCTTGCAGATGCCTGCCTGCTCGTCCAAGAGCAGAGCGCTGCCCTGTGTGCCTGCACCAGCGGTCCAGAGCTCCTGTGCTGCAGCCAGGCCTCAGCTCAGCCCGGTGGTTACCTCCTGTGAGCACCAAGCTCCTCGTGCCCCTGGGGTAGCTGCCACCCTGGAGCCTGCGGCACAGATGGATGCAGCTGTGCAGGTAGTGAACGCTGGCAGGAAGTCAGGCTGGGGCTGGGGCTGCTGCTGGAGCAAAGGGAGGCACTTTGGGAGTGATGGAAATGAAAAGCAAGGTATGAGCAAGCACAGATGTGAAGCTGGGGCTTGGGTTTGGTCTGGGACTGTGTCCATGCTGTATCTTAAAGAAAAGTTAAAAAGGAAATAAGAAGCCCCGCTGCTTTTTCTCCAAGCATCCCCAAAGAGCTTTGGCCTGGAGCTGGAGGTGCAGAGGAGCTCTGCAGAGCGAGCGGGAGCTGGAGCCTGGTGCAGAGGGACACAGGAGCTGGCAGAAGGTTTGGGCAGGCAGCTGCTGCCAGGCCATGCATGGGGACAGGGGGGCACCCGCTGCAGTGCCGGGGCTCAGTGCTGGGACAAAGCGCTGCTGATTCGGGCCAGGCTGGCACGGAGCAGCCGGGAGAGGGCAACTCTTAGCAGGCTGCACTTGGAGTGGAAGCTCAAATCTGCTGTGAAATAAGTTCAGAAAAGTCTGTGACTTCTTTTCCCTGAAAACTCTTAAGAAGCTGAACTGAGAAGAGAATGAACCTGGGACCTGGCCCCTTGGCAGAGGCTGCTGGGGCCAGGGGAGCTTCAGCCTCCACCGTGGCCCCAGCACACCCGGTGCGACAGGCGGGCACCTGCTCCGTGCGGGAGCAGCGGGTCTCGGCTCTCCATCCCCAAGGCCTGGTGCTAGCAGAGCCCTGCATCTCTCAGAATAGATAATAGATCTCTATATATAGACTTCATCTGGTTCTATTAACATAAATATGATCACTTTAAAAATACACGTACTGTATTATGTACACTATGTACACGGGGCTGGGCGGGTGCCGGCGGGGGCCCTCGGCACCCCCCCCGCCTGGTTCCTGGAACCGTTCACATTTGTTAAAAGCTCCTCAGTTTCTCTGGCACAAGAGATGCTGGGGTGGGGGAGGACGACAACGGGGGGTGACCCTGCAGCTGCTGCCTGAGGCAGGACATGTCTGAGCTGTGCCGGTGCGCCCCGTGCAGCGCAGGCTCCCAGTGAGGGAGCGCCCTGATGCTGCAGCGGTGGGACCCCGAAGTCAGCCCTCACTGCGGGGTCAGGCCTGCCAGAGCAGCCAAATGCACTTTGCATATGTTAAAACTGCGCAGGGATGCAGACGTCCTGACAGCTCCAGCATCCGCGCCTGCCTGGGGCCGGGTTAGCAGCGAAGCCCTGGGAGCAGCAGGGAGCCCAGTGGGGCATCAGGGCACCCCAATGCACGATCAGGAGCTGGCGCCAGCCGGGCTGGCCAGTGCCCTGGTGCAGTGTGGTGTGGAGTGGGGTCGGGGCTGGGACTCTGTAGCTGTGC